AGAGTGTCCCACAAGAGTGTCCTGCAAGAGTGTCCCACAAGAGTGTCCCGCAAGAGTGTCTCACAAGAGTGTCCCTTGAGAGTGTCCCACAAGAGTGTCCTGCAACAGTGTCCCACAAGAGTGTCCCACAAGAGTGTCCTACAGGAGTATCCCACAAGAGTGTCCTACAAGAGTGCCCCACAAGAATTTCCTACTAGAGTGTCCCACAAGAGTGTCCCGCAACAGTGTCCCACAAGAGTGTCCCACAAGAGTGTCCCGTAAGAGTGTCCCACAAGAGTTTCCTACAAGAGTGACCCACAAGAGTGTCCCACAAGAGTGTCCTACAAGAGTGTCACTTGGCCATATGTGGCTTTTTGAACGTGTTTGCATTCGGGTTCGTGGGCTCCATCTTGTTTTTCATTTTTGCTACTTGATAAACTCACGTAACACATCACTGTTCAATTCTTTCCACTTGATTGGGGTTCTTCTTATTTTTGCTTCATATGTCAACATATGTCAACATTCCTTTTGCTTTTTGCTTTCTTCGTTTGTCATTCGCTGCCAGGCCGTTTTCAGATCCCCGTCCATTGACTTGGACAAGCCAACCGTAACTTGGGTTGAATCATCATTGAAGTGTTTGTGGAATAAGTCGTTTTTTTGAAGGCTTGCCTGCTTGAAATGGGGTTAGACATTGTTTGAGTGGCACAGGGTTGTAAGGTTCTATGATCAGATTGGGCAATCAAATTTGGACAAGTTTGCAAGCATCAGTAGGTCTAAACTCTTCTTGGAAAGAATTTTGTTCCGTATGCTGTCCGGTTGACTTGGGACCTGTACAACAGACACCGCGACAGGTGGTCTTTATCGGGGCTCCAAATGTTTGGCCCTTAACCGTTCATCCGTGAGCATCCCCATCACATGGTGCATCGCTCTTAGGTTGGAGGCCATCTAGTAGGTTGGAGGCACAACTCCGTGGTTTTCTGATTCTAATTACTAAGTATTGTTTCTACTAGCTTCTTGTTACTACTAGTAAGGCACTTGTTACTAGAAGCGATGCACTTGTTCCTAGTAGCTTCCTTTGCTCCTAGTTGCTGGAAGTCAGGTGGGTAAGTCGTCCTTGGTGCGGTCAATCTCCACCGGCAGACCCGAGGCATGGTCTTTTGGTCCAGCCTTGGCTGGGAAAAAACATCGGAGTATCACCGCAGTTTTGAGAGACCAGCCGACTGGCCGCCTTCGTCCAGGTCAGTGACTACTTGTACACCACAAAGGAACTCACCATCGGTGCTGCGCTGAGGTCAAAGAGACTTCGTCCCTGTTGTATTTGTTTCTTAAAGCCCGCTCTCCCCCCTCCCTACTTAACTAAGTGGAGATTGCCTACTTATTAATTAAGTAAGGGAGAGGAGGTTGCTACTACCTCTGCAAGTAAGCTACTACCTAGGATGCAGGACTAGCAAGAAGCGCTCGCACTAATGATTTGGTTCCTAGATTTTTAGGGAAACTTAACTCTGCAGCTGAGGGCATCTTTGGCACTTCATTGCTGGACGCTAAGAAATCTGATGTCAGGAGAGGTTGCAAGGAAAACATGATTTGTTTCTTTATTCCAAATTCAAGAAAGCCTTTCCTCATTGGAAGAGTGTTATTCAAGCACTTGCTTCAGATGGATGCAAGAGAGATTCAGGCAGTCAAGGGGTCCAGTTAAAGGTGGTTCCAGCAAAAACAAGCAGGTACCCGAGCCCATGTTTGCGGCTGAAGCTGATTCGCACAAAAAGAGATCATGGAGTTTGGCTTTCTGCAGAAGTGAATGAGTTTCGACGGTTGTCACTTCGACACGCTTCGCGGACCCAAGGCAGGCACCCCGTTGCTCATTCATGGAGGGATCCTCAGATTGAAGTTGCTCAGATCCGCTTGCCAAAAGTAGCGCAAATGACCTTGAATCTTGGAGGACAGTTTCTTTGCAAAGATTGTTTTTCTTTAGAACTTGAGTTCTTCCGGTTTCCACTGCATCTCCCTGCATTCAACTAAGCGAAGCGGACTGAGGTCAGATCGTGGACTCCCCTGGCCTGAAATTTGGTCCAGGAAACCACTTGGTTGTTTTTCAGAGTTGTTCTTGTAGCGTCCTTGCTACTTTGTAAAAGCATCATGACGCAGTAATATGCAGTGTCGTTAGCTTGAGTTTGGAGGTGGAGACCACAATTTGATGGACAAGCTCACCATAGGTGGGAACCTCAGCGTTGAAGCGATTGTTAACACCTCAACTGTCACCCACTCTGCAAGCGAAGTGTGAGGTTCCATGGAGAACTTGCCCACTGGAGTGGTCTTCGTCTTCGATCCTTATCCATACACTCACGGGTTCCCTCCTGAGAGCTTAGACAGATGATTACAAAGGTAGTTGCAATTGCTGGTCGCAAAGATGACAACGAAGCTGGAGCAAAGCACGTTGCACTCTTTTAGGCGCTTTTGCTGAGGCTTTTGGATGTCGACGCGCAAGTGAAGCTGCGTGATTCTTTGAGGTGCCCGCCGCAAGTATTGAGCCACCCTTTTTTTGTTTGTTCGGTTTATTTGTTCTTTGGCCTGCTGCTCAATTAAGTAAGGGACAAGTTTGCTTCTAGGAACAGGACATAGGATAGCTCACACTAGTTTGGTTCCTAGATTTTTAGGGAAACTTAGCTCAAAAAATAAGACAGATTCTGTTGAGATGAGACCTTGCGTCACTTTGCTCTTCTTACAGGGCCCGATTCCCTCGTCGGCCATGGTTGGATGTCATCACCAAGATCGATCGGACTGAAGAAGAGGTGAAGGAGGGGAATAGAAGTGCAGAAACTCTTTGGATGTGATCGGCTGAGGGCAACATGCGTTGATTTGGACATGGATGTCAGTCATCATGGTTTCTATGCCACGTTTAGACTCTTCCAAGTGCGTTTGGTTTGACAGGAAAACATCGAGCGCCTGATTCAAGCTCAGGTGATTCAAAACTGATATGCTTATAGATGCTTCGACACAAGTCTTTTCAAGTTTAGAGCTTACCGCCACTGTTTGCGGGCAGTGAAGCTCAGCTCAGGATGACGCTCTATCCCGATGCTCTTCAGGCAAAGTTCAAACGAAAAGCCATACAATGGTAAGAAGAGCGCTAGTAGCTTCTTGTTGCTAGCAGTAAGAATGCTCCTAGTAGCGATGCCAGGAGCCCCTAGTAGCTTCCTTGCTCCTAGTAGTAAGGCCAGGAGCTCCTAGTAGCTTCTTGTTACTGCTGTTGATGTCCGTTCAATCAGATCGGTGAAAGAAAGGGCTGGTCGCAATAAGGTGAGCGCATTTGATGGGACTGGCCTGGATGATCTGAACATGGAGGCCCAGAAGCAAGCCACTATGTGATTGCTTTTTACTTTGCGTTGAAAGGTTCGAGGATTGCTGGAAGAGATGACCAAGGTGGGCGACGTGGAGTGGGATGCAATTCTTCGTTCCCCACATCACTATGTGGGGTTCTAGTTTTGTTGGCTGCCATCCCGCCCGACTCCGTCCTTCCTTCCCTCCTCCGTCCTTCCCTCCTCCGTCATTCTCTTACACACGCAATCATCTTGTCATCTGACCTCTTTCCCTCACACACAATCATCTCATCATCATCTCACCTCTTTCTCTCATTTCTCTCATTGTCTTTCATTCTCTTTCATTCTCTTTCATCTCCACTTGATCTACTCGCCCTTTTTTGGCATCTCACAGTCACACACACAATCATCTAGTCGCCCTCATTCACTCACAAAACTTCATCTATTCGCCCTTCTTGTCACATCTCACCCCCGCAGTGGCCGGCGTAGTCTCCAGAGACTGCATGCAGAAGGGGCTGCGGCGCGCGTTGTCGCCGCTGGGGGCCCGGCGCGCTCCGCAGTGACCGGCACAGTCTCCAGAGACTGCAGAAGGGGCCGCGGCGCGCGTTGTCGCCGCTGGGGGCCCGGCTCTCTCTGCAGTGGCCGGCGCAGTCGCCAGAGACTGCAGAAGGGGCTGCGGCGCGCGTTGTCGCCGCTGGGGGCCCCTGCGAACGCGCGTTGTCGCCGCTGGGGGCCCGGCTCTCTCCGCAGTGGCCGGCGCAGTCGCCAGACACTGCAGAAGGGGCTGTGGCGCGCGTTGTCGCCGCTGGGGGCCCCTGCGAGTCGCATTGTAAGGGCTGCGGGGAGGATGTTTGAGAAGCCTGTCTTCTCCAGAGGTTGCAGCAGGGGCTGCGGCGCGCGTCTCCAGAGACTGCAGAAGGGGCTACGGCGCGCGTTGTCGCCGCTGGGGGCCCGGCTCTCTCCGCAGTGGCCGGCGCAGTCTCCAGAGACTGTAGAAGGGGCTGCGGCGCGCGTTGTCGCCGCTGGGGGCCTCACAGTCACATAGCCTCCTTCTCTCTCTCTCTCTCTCTCTCTCTCTCTCTCTCTCTCGTCCCTCTCGTCCCTCTCATCCTTGTTCATCACATCATCAGACACTTTATCACACACCCACACACACACACACACGCACGCCATCTTACCACACACACACACCTCCTCCCTCCCCTCCTTCTCCACATCATCACTTATACTGCGCGTCTGAGCATAACCGCCTCATACACTTTCTCTCCTCACACTTCGTTCTTGACTTTTCATCTCACTACTCCGTCTCCCATGTGATGTTCATATACAATTGAAATTTGTAAAACTTATCATGTGGGGTTATCCTGTCCTTTTATTTGTTTTTCTTTCTACCTGCTAGTAGCTTCTTGTTACTAGTAGTAATAGCTTCTAACCTGCTAGCGATGGCCTCCAACCTAGTAGGTTCCAGCTACTAGTGGCTTCTTGTTGCTAGTAGTTGCAAAAGTATGTGATATTTCTTCACCCTTTCTGTTCAAAGGTGGTGCGCCAACTCCAGCGCACAAAGATCCGGCAGCTGCGGATGGGAGACGTGGAAACTGCTGTCAACAAGGAGGCGTGTGGCATAAATTGTAAAGTGTTTGTCAAAGTTTTACCTGTATGAGGCTTTATCTTTGCGCTGAAATCAAATATATGAATTAAAGATAGTATGACAAAGCTTAATACGAAATGTAGTTTTCAATATGTTGCAATCTCCCAGGCTAACCATTGTGGCTAGCATATCGTTGACTCTCTGGTCAGACGACATAAAAAAGAGTTCCCAAAACAAAAAGTGAAACATAAGCATCAAGCCATACACATCGAAAGCGGAAATGACCATGTGGCCAAGTTCTGTCCACAACCTTCAAGAAGAATGCCAGCAAAACAACAAAGCTCACTCGGCTCAATGTAGGGCCGGGCGCCAAAGATGGCCCCTTTAGGCAGGGCTCTGCCACACTTATATGCTTCGGTCGCGTTGTAGTAGCCAGGGACAAAACGTTGCTGCTCCCTTGTCATAATGACTACCACAGCCTTTTTGAAGAATTTAAGAGCGTCATTGAAGGCAGTGCCCGTGTCAGGAAACTCTTGAAACTTGTAACCCCGGTGTACAAACAGAAAAAGCAGTTCAACAAAGCCAACCCCAAGGTCATCAGCCACTCGCCAACTTAGTGTACCCAGGAAGTCAAGCACGGTCGGAAAGTCCAGGGAAGACAGTTGAGGGCGTTTCGGCAGCTGAATCTCATGCGGCCGAGGTTTCCAAGTGAAGTCCGCAATATTGGGGGCCCAATTCCATAAAGGAAAACGTGCCTGGAAGAAGTCATCACTTGTTTGTTGAATATCCAACTTCGGTTCCCTTGTAACCTTGATAGAACATTGATCACCGATGATTTTGTTCAGATTGGCTAACTGGAATTGTCTGTTGTAAATCTGCTCTTGGAGGTACCCATGCAACCGGGGGTCAATAGGCGATTCAGCCCAAGCATGTTTACGAGCAACGAGATCAGCTTGTTGATTACAAAGAACTTGTTGGCGAGTAAGCCCAAACTTGTTTGCAAGTTCATCCGTGATGTGGCGAGGTTCCACGCCGTCGAGAGAGTGGGCCTTCATCCACTGAACCGTGATGGGTGAGGGATGTCTCGCACAACGTTCTTGCCAAACTGCTAACAACTTTTTCCACCAAAGTTGATGACTCCAATGGGCTTCGATCCTGCCGTTGCAAATCATGGCTGTGATTTGGTCCACCACTGCTTGACAGTCAGACCAGATACACAGGCATCCAGGAAGGTGGAGGATTGCTTGGAGTATTGCAAACAATTCTGCAGCGTATGAAGTCAAGGAAACATGATACACAGGCCCAGAAACAATACATTGTCCCTTGTCATCCACAACCGCAAAACCAGCTGAGGTAAGCCAGTAGCTTTCCTGGAAAATGACAGAACCGTCCGACCAAACTGTTTGCCGCTCAAGGTTCGCATCAAACGGAACTGCATCTCCCAACTGAGTATGGCTCCGGAGCCGATGGTTGGCAATACTGACAGGATGTTCGCAAATTCCCAGCAAGGAGAAATTTGTACCAAGTTCGCGCTCAATGCAACTGCGTACTCCGGCCGGAGCGTTCGGGCAATCATGCACGATATGGGACAAGCATTCCTTAGTTTGGTGGCAAAAACGGCAGTTGGGATCATCAACAAAACCGGCGGCACATCGACGATCATTGGTGATCGTACAGCCGACTACCTGAGAATCAAAGTGAGGTGTCAGGTCTTCCCTATGGTTGAGGGGAACCTTATACTTGCGTTTGAAAAGCGTGCTCAAAAAGGGGTCAATAAGGCCCTTGGGTTTGAACAGGTCTTTCCGTGGTTTATCACAGGAGTGCTCATAACATGCTTGTTTTCCAAGTGCCACAAAAAGTGGTTTCATGTCACGAAATTCGAAATCAAGAATTGACAAACGAACGTCTCCGATGCCAATTGAGAGATCCGGGAATAAAGTCATGTGAAACCACAAGAAGCACTTTTGGACATGAAAGAGCAACGAATGCTTGTGCTCCATGCAATGGTCAAACATGTTTGTCAGGCGATCTCTTGCCTGAGGGTTCCTATGAACGAAACGCCAAAAATTTCTGATAGCGTTATACGCACGTGCAGTGCAAGGCTCGACAAGACATGGTTGCACCAACAGACAAAAAATCAACATCTTAGAGCGCCAAAATGGTCTGTTATGCCACAGGGCAGTGGCAATCGCTGATTGAAGGCGACTCACAACACTCTTAGGGATAGCAGCAAGTTCGGAGGCATAGCTGCATTGGGGAATTACCTTTGAGGCCATTAGTTGAGATCTAGTCCGCATGGTAACAGGTAGTGCTGCAATATTTCGGATATCATTGCAGATCTTTTCAACCTTCTGTTCGGAGAACTGAAACGAGCATCGATCTGACGTTTGCATGTTGGCACCTAGAACATCAACTTCTAGGGCGAGGGGGATTTCGGGGAAGGTTTTTTTGGCTCTCTCTCTCTCTCTCTCTAGCGGGGCCCGTAGTAGCCCATAAAGTGCACTTGTCTGGGTTGAGTTTCTGTCCTACCAACTTATTCCACTGGCGAGTAGCTTCGAAAGCACGGTGCAGCACATCAACATGGGCCAAGCGCACCCAAATGTATGCATCATCTATGAAAGCCTTGTACATCACCTCAGGAAGAAGGGACATGAAACGAGCCCAAACAGCCATGTACACATTAATGGCGATGAGGGACAAACTGCATCCCTGCGCAACGCCGTTGGCACACGAAACAGGCTTGCACGAAACCCACCCTCTAAAAGAGAGATGTTTGCGAAGGGCACCATACATCTTGAGAAACACGTTTACAACCTTTTTAGGCATACCAAACGCCAAAAACAAAATCGCTGCAAAGTCTGGAACAATGCGGTCAAAACACTTCGATTGATCGAGTTTGATGCCGACGATGGCATCCCCCTCAAATGAGGCTTGATCAAGCTCAACCTGCAAACCTACGTTTACTGTTGACATGGAGCGCCCTTTGATGCCACCACACAAAGCCGAAGGGAAGACTTGTTCCTGCCAGGAGTTGAGTTGGCGGAACCGCGTCCCAGTATAAGCTAAGATAAGTGGGGACAAAATGGTGATCAACCTTTTATTGAGGGGGGTGGAAATCCCCGCTTTGTTCAAGATGATTTGCTTGGCAGTCATGACGATTTTTGGAATGTCGAAGTCTAATTCTTCTTCAAGAGTTCGAAAAAAAGGATGCGATCTGATTACAACAGCTGAGTGGCAAAGATTGGAGGTCAGTGGTTCTCCAGCCATCCAATCCAGGTGCAGCGAGAGGATTTCGCTGTTGGATCGTTTGGAGCAGCTCATCGCCCGTCAACGGTGGAATGTCGAAAGGCTGAATCTGCTGATCCACATAAGGCCAAATGACTTGAAGCATGTGGGTTGGGTCATCATGCAGAACATTGGCGCTATACACCTCATCCCAAGTAGAACTAATAGTATACATGGCATGGCACGGGTTATAGACAATGTTACCATCATTATCAAGCACTAGATTGGCCGGTTCTTCAGTAGCCTTATTCTTAAGGTGATTATAAATGTATTTTTTGGTGCCTCCAGCCGAAGCTTGAATTTTCCGCTTCCAATTTTCGATTCTTTGAGCTTTTTGGTTGGCTTCCCAAGCAATGGCACGACCTGTCATCACACAATGCATGTGTTGACCGAGGTGAGGTCTGGAGAACATGGCATTTCCCAAAAATCCGGGGCTTCAAGGTCTCGAAGGGCCCTCCAAACTCTTTTTGCCGTGCGTTGGGTGATGATTGCATCATCTAGTGAACGCGACGGTCGCTGGAGTCGAGTGAACAGTTCCCAAAGACGGTCTAATGTGTTGAACAATCTGGAGCCCTTGTGATTGGTGGCGACCCCAGTGGGTAACTGCCCAGGGCAAATGCACTTCTTCCGAAAGACCGGAGGAGTCCCCCGTGTTCGCTGGCCATGTCCCCAAGTGGCACCAGCAGAAATCAAAGTCTGCATGCAAAACTGGTTGACAATCTGCCATTTATCTTCTGCATTAAGGGTTTGGGCGTACTTATGGGAGAAGGTAGTTTCCCAAAGATCGCTGGCAAGCTTATCAACAACAACACCAGCTTTGGATTTGGGGTTGGGAATCCGGCTAGTATCCAAAGGAGCGTTTTTGACATGGATGTCGCCAGCATGCCATCAATTGATGAGCAATTGTCACCCGGTCCCGAAAAAGTGCAATCACGGGAGTAAGCGGTCTCGAACACGTCCCATATTCTGCCATCACAAGGAGGGGATCATGCCACCCATGAAAATTGATTGCCTCCGAAGCACACTTGTAGTTCATGGGGTCAGTCTGGAAATCCCCTGCGATGATAACAGGAACATCACCAAATTGGGCAACCACCTCAAAAATCTGATGGAGCAAAGTGTTATTGGACCGCAAGGTGTCGGGGCAGTGGGAAGCGCCCGACTTGAGGTAAACCGAAAACACCAAGACTTTGAGGGATGGGAAATTTGAACCCAAATAGCATTTGCGCGTTTGGAGTCAAAACTCAGAGCGTAGAGACCCGAAACGTCATGGTCCACACTAAATGGGGTCGTAATCGAGTCAGGGGCGATGACAGCGGTTCCCCCATGCATAGTCGTGTGGTGCCCATCGGCACGGATAATCCCTGGGAGCAACGCACCACAAAAAAGGGTGCGGCCGGTGGCAGCGACGTCTCGAGAGGCCGTGCGAAAGTTGTTGCGGCCTACCCTCGTCTCTTGAACACATGTGATAACATCAGAATTGCTCTTCCAAAAGGTGGATGACTTAAGACTACCTACGTTAACGGTAGAAAGGGACCAAGATGAACGGTGAACATCCAGAGGCCCTTCCCCGGGGAACCCAAGTGAGTCATCGAAGACACGAGGCCACCCAATTTGTTTGGGACCCACCGGTCGAACGATCGGGCAAGCTGGCAGCATTTACGCTTTTTGCGTTTCAGCAAAAGGTTGAGGTTCACATTACGAAAATGCTTGATGCGCTGCTCCACCCCGGCTGGACCACAAACACCTGCAACGAAGCAACAAAGACCGACAGACAAAGACAGACAAACCGGCAAAATTCCATGA